TTCTGAATTGGAACCCTTTCTCTCCAGTGGCTCTTCACCTCGATCCCTCCAACCAAGATGACCCTTTGCAGCTTTGCCCCTTCCCTCTCCTTTTTCGGTCGTAACGGGCCCTTTACCACTCTTTCCCGACCATCAATCGACATATCAGCCCATTCAATCAATCTGTCTGCCGATTTCAATGGATAAAAAATCAATCAATCAATCAATCAATCAATCAATCAATCAATCAAAAGTTGAACAGGGCATCAGTTAACGAATCCAGCAATCAGTACTTAGTCGATCTATTGTCTTGATAGGTTCGGTGTATGGTTAGGTTCGGGTTGGGCTAGAGGGGGAAAGGGGTTCATTGCGGTGTGTGTATTGGCTGACAAATGGAAATGGATAATCTTTGCAGGGTGTGTTGGTTGGGTTAGCAGGGGGAAGGAGGAGGAAGGGGGGGGGGGGGTCATTGCAGGGTGTGTGCATTGGCTGACAACTGCAAATGGATAAGTGATGGATGCTTCAAGGTGGCTCTACAGTCTAGAAGAACTTACCTAGTACCTGTTCATCGGGGACGTTCTGCGCACATGAGAAATGGGCATAGCAGGTAATTATCCACTTCAAATTTTGATAACGATCTGATGACTCAAATTTGATGGCGATGCATGACGTAACAGCAGGTCTGAGGAGACGGACATGGTCGACAACGAGATTGAGGAGGTGGAGTCCGCTGGCGAGGGGCGAGCAACCCATCTCGGAGGTAATTCAACGAAAAACACTCCAACACGTGTCAATGGCTTGCGGCAATCTCGTTAAATCCATTCTGAGCTCATTGCTTATCTTATACTGCCATCAATTATGCATGTGGCAGACACGAACACAGCGAACACGACAACACACACACACACACACACACACACACGCACACATCATAGAAAGACACGCGCACATCATCAGACACACCTAACACTTTCCGGTCTTCCACACTTACACACACAGACACAATAGAGTACACAGGTGGTGAGGATTATGTCATGCTTGGCTTCAGTTTATCAATACTGATTCCTGCTCTCACTCCGTCCTTCTCCAGTCTGACTGGCTCAAGTATCCGCGAATCGCTTACTGCCGCCTCGCGTGAACGACGTACATGTGCGACCGACCAGCTGCTTTTTTTTTTTTTTTTTCCCTTACAAAGGATGCTGTGATGTTGATGCGCGATTTGAAATGGGCAAGCAACCCCCTAGCACCCAGAGGGGTTAAGAAAAACAAAAGGGGTTAAAAAAAAAAAACTCGGGAGCCGAGCACTGAATCGTGCATGTGTCTGTGTGGATATGTTTGGTTGGATATGGTTGGTCTGCAGTGATCCGTGATGGGCTGACCACATGCAAGAGGAGACGCCGACGTGGCAAGAAGGGCGGGAAGAAGCGCCGCAAGGGCCGCAGACGCAGAAGACGCGCTGCCCAGCCTGATGCTTAAGCGACAGCGATGTGCGACACGGTGCGGCACGATGTGCCGGCCGGCCGCACTTGCCCCACGGAGTGCCCTTCAGGGCCTTCACTCCTTCGCATGCAGAAACATCTGGTGACCATGTTGTGCGGCTTGGATGGGGCAGATCGGTCGGCCGGCCTTCAGCAAGATCCACAGTCAGCTGCCAATCAAGCAGGATGCTCCTCTCAGATGTGTGGGGGTAGAACTCTCTCTCTCTCTTAGATGGGTGGCATTACTGTCCCTGTAGGATGTGAGAGTGGGAATTCTCTCTCGAGAGAGAGAGACAGGTCTCAAAGCTACCTTATGCTCTCGCCTGCTACCGTTATAAGACCTACCAAGTAGTGGGAAATCATTTCGTCTTGAAGCTGCGCAGGCTCGCAGCATGTCATCGTGCCGTCGTGGAAGGATGATACTTTCCCACGTGCGTGCGTGTTGCTGACAGAAGATCCCAGAGAGCGTGTGTGTGTGTGCGTGAGTGAGTGGGTTGTGTGTGTAACTGAGTGAGTGCGTAGGTGAGTTTGAGTAAGGGCCTTCAGGTGCTGAGATAACCACTAGAGTAGGTGGGAGTAGAGTCAGCGTAGCGAGAGAGAGAGAGAGAGAGAGAGAGAGAGAGAGAGAGAGAGAGAGAGAGAGAGAGAGAGAGAGAGAGAGAGAGAG